ATTAGCCCTGTAAAGTGATAAAAAAAGACAAAAGGAGATTTCTTCCAACAACTGGTTCTCCAAACTGCTTAGAGAAAGTTAACAACTGGTTATAGCAAATAGGTGTGAATAGGTTGAATCCCACCACTGAAAAACAATGGTTTTCAACCTTTTCTTCACCACGAACCCTCTTTAAATGCCTTTTATGGCCACAGACCATATCCACGGCCCCTAAGACTTAAGATTTAAATCAAGATTTAAATCATAACATTTCTTCAAGCCTTCGCAGATCTCCTGTGGCAGCATCGTGGCCTCCCAGGTATCCGCAGACCACAGGTTGAGAACCACTGGTCTAAAGAGAGAAACAGCACCAGCATTAATTTTCTTCAAAATTAACCCATATACAGTACATTTAAAAACAAAACAAAGTTCTTTTTCAAAAATAACTATCTGATTGGGCCAGCCTCAAGGTTCACATTCAATAGCTACAGATGAGGAACCTTGGCCTATGTATATTCAGGATGATGAATGAGTAAATGCATTACTCATTAACACTTTAGTGTTAAATTTTAGTTTCTATGAAGTCCTGTCTTCCCTGCTGGAGGGTCACCATTAGTGGCTTTCAGATGTGTTAAATTCCATCTTCTTATCACAGAATTGGTGAGCAAACATAGGGAAAGTCAAGAGGTAGCTCAGGGTTGAAATGAGAGGTCCTTGGTGCTCTCTGAGCTCGTTTTTGTGCAAATGTTTCTGATGATGATGCACTGATGATGTTACCTTGTTGTGGTTGTTTCCATGGCAAGTACATTGTTTCCATGACAAGTGATTTTACAATATTGTTATTATTTGCCAGTGTGTTATTTCCCATAACTCCCAATTCAATAAATAGTAATTATTTCCTGATTCTTTCAGGAAATACAGAAAGAATCTAGACCCAATATAAAAATTTTCCAAGTATTTTGATATTTCTTTCTTCCAACTGATTCTTGAAATGAGCTGCTCAGAGGTCACCATTTCAAGGACAAGTTTCTGTGCATCAGATTGAAAAAGGGAGAACAGACAAGGATTTAATTAAGCCAAAAAGGGAGAATATTTGTAGCTCAGGGTTGAAACAAGGGGTCCTTGGTGCTCTCTGAGCTTGCTTGGTTTTTTGCAGATGTTTCTGATGATGATGCACTGATGATGTTACCTAATTTGGGTAATGAAACGTCTGAGAAAACAAGCAAGCTCAAAAAGCACGAAGGACCCCCTCGCTTAATTAAGCCTCAAGATTCTTGGGCAACCTCCAAAATTCAGTGCAATGTCAGTCAGACCCCTTTTTCTAACCCCAGTGGGGAAGACTAAAATTAGTGCAACTATGAACTCTTAACAGGCATTGTACAAACATTTAGCAGCTGTGCTCAGTACTGACAGATTAGTACAGATACTTGCAACAGTTCATTTAGTGACTGTTCAAAGTTACAATGGCACTGAAAAAAGTGACTTATGACCATTTTTCACACTTAACGACTGTTGTAGCATCCCTATGATCATGCAATCAAAATTTGGATGCTTGGCTATTGGTTCATACTTATGACAGTAGCAGTGTCCCAGGATCATGTGATCATTTTCTGGCGATCTTCTCACAAGCAAAGTCAATGGGGAAGCCAGCTTAATGACTAATTAAGACTATTTTTAGGCAATAATTCCTAGGTATTTGGGTATTTTTATGTTCTAGCAGATTGATTTATGTTCATACCAGATGCTTTAAACTGGCTCTTGAATTAACCCATTATCTGGGATTACATGATGTACTGGAATTTAATCTAATTAAATGAGTGGGATCCACATAACACGTAAGCAACTTCCCAAAGAATAATGAAACTTAATGTGCTGAGCAGTGCTATAGCTTTAGTGTTCATTGTCTTGATAAATGTATTAGGTTAACATGGTCAGGGATATCAGGTCAATGTCAATAAAAAGGATGAACTGCATTAAGTGCCATCTACTGATTCCCTCCAGCAAAGGACTCTCTAAGTTCTTCCACCACTTCCCATGACTCAATGTGAACAGCATTAAAAATGTGATGTCAACTTGTAAAGCGTTTCCATGACTATTATCAAGTTGGCATGAAAAGGGAGGGTGAATTCCATGCATACCTTCAACCAGAGTCAGATCTCAAATTTCTACAGCAGGTGTGTGAGGTGCAAAGTCCACAGCTTGCTGGAGCACCTTGTTGGTGGATAGGATTTATGACACAGACTGAGGGGAGGGGAGACACAGGGGTAAAGGTCAGAGACCATTAACCAGAATCAGTTTCGGCTCCACAGAAGAATATGCCAAAATGTTGATCCTAATAAATGACTGGATTTCTTTTGAACTTTGTCTCGAGGCTCATAAATTAATTAAGTCATCTTTTGGAAACTTCACAGAGAGCTAAAACTGACTTTTAAAATCTATCAAGGTTTCCTGGTTTCCTGAATCCCCGGCTCTCCAATCACTTCCCAATATTTGGGGTGCTTGGAGGGAAAATCAGGCAACCATGGCTGAAGAGAGAAACTGATTGCAGCTGGAGGAATGCGGATAGCTCCAGACATCAAAGCTCCAGACATCCAAGCTGCAATGCCTTTCCCAGCGGCAGAAGCAAGAAAGAATGAGACTGTGTGTGGACTTTCGAGGGATAAACGCTGTGTATGTATATGTCCTCATGAAGGACATGCTATCTAATCTGGCCAAGGGAAAAGTCTTCACCAAACTAGACCTCAGAGAAGCATACTACTGATTATGTATCAGAGAGGCAGATGAGTGGAAAACTGCGTTCAACTGTCCCCTAGGGAGCTTTCAATTCAAAGTGATGCCTTTCGGACTGCAGGGGCCCCCAGTGGTATTCATGCAGTTAATAAACGAGGTGCTGCATGAGCACCTCTACAGGGGGGTCCTCATCTACTTGAATGACATCCTCATCTACACTGAGACCATGGACAACCACATACCCCTGGTCTGCCAAGTCCTGGAAAAACTTTGTCTTGAGGCTCGTGAATTAATTAGGTCATCTTTTGGAAACTTCACACGTAGCAGTGTTCTCCTCTTGAAGTACCCAAGAATATACTTTTGAGATATTCTTTGCTGAATGTGAGGAAAGTGTGTTTTGCCAGTGTTGTCGTTTACAAAAAAGAAAGAGGCTGAGGTGTGCAAATAGACCAGTAGCATTACTGGCAATGAAAAGGACCAGATGGGAGGCCTGCACCAAAATCCCTTCGTAAAGTTCACCTAACCTGCCGGCCAACCCATTGAAATAATACCCAGCCCTGTTGTATATATTCCATGTCATTACAAATTCAGGTTGACAATTTTCCCATTTATCAAAGTTATAATTTCAAAAACAAACAAAACCCAAAAACAAATGCAGAATACTCCACAGCAGCTTCTCCAAGAGTGGATCTCCATCATTTTAAAGATTTCAGCCCTCTGCTAATACAGACTGGTCATTTTCTCTAAAAAATACAATGCTTTTGCTTCACGACAAAGAAATGGTCTCAGGGCAAGGAATACAGGTTGTGTTATGTAACAATAAATCTGTCTAGATTATTAGAAGACCTATTACCTTTTCTATTAAAAGAGAGAATGAGGGAGGAAGAAAAAGGAGATAGAGAAAGAAAAAAAGACCACCACAATATTACTGGTTTAGTATTGTCCAGGAAGTCAACTCTAGCAAGGCTCAGCAACTTTTTAGAGTAATCAGTTCCGCTCTACTGTGACTTTCTAGGTAGAACACAAATTGGTATTATAGCAATAGCAAGAGCAGTTAGACTTATATACCGCTTCATAGGGCTTTCAGCCCTCTCTAAGCGGTTTACAGAGTCAGCATATCGCCCCCACAGTCTGGGTCCTCATTTCACCCACCTCGGAAGGATGGAAGGCTGAGTCAACCTTGAGCCGGTGAGATTAGAACCGCTGAACTGCAGATAACAGTCAGCTGAAGTGGCCTGCAGTACTGCACCCTAACCACTGCGCCACCTCGACTCTTGGAACTGCCACCTTGCCTATCCTGCTGTAGATAGACTGGATTCTTTCTAATTGAGCCACATCCACAGGTAAACCTCTGCAGATATTGAATCAAAAGTTCATCTGTCATGTGGCTCATTATGACACTAAGCTAAGTGGCAGTCTGGTTCCAAGCTTTGGCCCTTATTGAGCTTTCAATGCTGGGAAACACTGTTTTCTTTCATTCTGGGAAGATTTTGACTAAGTAGTGTGGGTTCTCCGATGTCGAACCAGGTGTGAATTCTGACCAAACTTCTTCCCGCAGTCAGTACACTTGTACGGTCTCTCTCCTGTATGCGTGATCTGGTGTCGGATGAGATCAGAACTCCAACGGAACTTCTTCCCACATTGGCTGCAGCCGTACGGACGATCTCTTGCATGGGATACTCGATGCCTGGTCAACTCTGAACTCTGGTAAAAACTTCGGCTGCACTGAGCACATCGGAAAGGTTTCTCTGAGGCATGGGTCCTCTGATGACGAGTCAGCTGGGAAGTATGACCAAAACGTTTGCCACACTGAGGACACTGGTGGGGCTTCTCCCCAGTATGGATCCTTAGGTGGGTGAGCAGATGTGAGTTACGGCTAAATGTTTTCCCGCATTCTGAACACTGGTGAAGGGACTTTCCTGCTGGGTGAGAGCCTCCAAAAGAGTTGGGGTGTGCAACTGGATTCTCTCTTACGTCTCCACATCTCACTTCACATCGTCGACTCACCTGTTCACCACAATTTTCACCCAACACTTTCCCCCAGGAATTCCCAGGTAGCAATCCCATTTCCATCATGCCTCCAGGCAAAGAGTGCTCCACTACGTTTCCATTGGCCAGTAGAGAGCCTGTCAAGCAAGAAAAGTATTTCATAATGGGTAGATGAGTCTGACAACATGCAGCTATCGACATCAAGACAAACAGGCACAGGTAGTCCTTGACTTACCACCAGTTGTTTAGTAACCAGTTGAAGTTGCACCAGACCCCCAAAAACTACTTAAGTTGTGACATTGCGCTCTCCTGCCAACATGCCACTGCATTTTGGGTACTTGGCAACCGGTCCACATTTATGGCTCTTGCAGTGCACTGTGGTCAGATGGCTGATTTACAGTATGATAGTTTTCCTGGGAACCTGCATTTACTTTTGGTTTCCAGCAAGAAACGGTCGATAGCGAACAATGGGTTCACTTAATAGCCATGACATTCACTGAACCACCCCAACAAAAGAGATTGTAAAATTGTAACATGGTGACTCTGCTTTACAACCATCATGACTTATGACCGTAGTTGCCAGGCTCAATTATGGCTATAACTCAAGGACTAACTGCATGCTCTCCATTGTACATTTACTACAAACCGTCTCAGTTCTTGTAACTGCTGTTTGCAAACTGATAGCTAATAGTTTATGGTTTTAGAAATGATGAAGCTGGGAAGTTACTTTGGACCTTTATAACCTCATAACATAAAAATGTTGTTCTGCTATTAGCACAAGTGTTTGTGAGTGTGGGTGTCACCTGATGTCTGCAATTTGTCATGGTAGGAAATGGCAGGTAAGGAAGGATAGTTAAGTTCCTCTTCTAGCTGCCATCCTCAAGCACGATGGTCATTTACTTTTTTTCTTTTAAGTTCACACAATGTGCATGGTGTTACATTGGGTTCAGCTGTTAATAGAAACATAGCTGTCTTCCTTTCAGCCTGTGGGTACGTTTCCTTAAGACTTTCATAGGCAGTTTCTTTAAGGAAAAAAAAAGGATTTATCTTCTCTAAAAACAACGGTGATGGGAATGCTATTTGAAGAAACTATGAACTGATCTGTAATAAGTCTCCTTGTCAGCAGATTTGATCATGTGCCATCAAAGTGGATCTTAACAAATACATAAGGAGATTTTCTCCAGGATAATCTGGCTCTTCAGATCTCCCATTGGTATAGCCATTGGTACAGTAATTGAATCCACCCATCTTGTTGCTGGTAGTTTTCTTCTGTTTGTTCTTTGCATCTTTCCTAGTGTTTTGGACTTCTAAAGGAAGTTGGGTCTTTGTACAATATATTCAAAATATGATAATTTGAGCCTGGTCATTGTGTGAATTCTGGACTATTTTTTTATTCTATAAAAAATAAATAAATAACTGGATTTCTTTTGAAGAAATGAATTTAATTAGGGCACCGGTCTTGATTTAATTAGGGCACCGGTCGGAACCCTGACAGCAAGCCAACTCTCCCAAACTAATCAAAACAACCGGGATTCCTGAGTCCCAGGCTCTCCATTCGCTCCACGACACCTGGGGTGCGTGGAGAGAAACTCAGGCTACCATGGCAGAGGGCGAACTATCCGAAGAGAGCCTGCTCCAGGCAACCCAGAGCGGGGCAGAACTTGCCCCCACCCAGGGAACTCCAGGAGCCAGTAGCCCAGTTGGAACCAAACTGCAGCCCTCTCTGGACATCAATGTTAAGACAGCCGAGACGCCCGCCCCACCAACCAAAACAAAAAGGGATGAGTGTTGGTGGGGAAAAGTCCCTAAAGCAGCTGAGGATGAGCTCCCCCACCCTAGCGCCTGGGGAAAAACCCTGAGCGAACTAGCAAGAGTGGAATGGATGAGGGACTGGGAATAGGCCAGACTCCCAAAAACTCTGATGGAACCCTTGGGGGGATCCTTAGAACAACTGAGGGAGAAATTTGACCAAACCACCCTTCGTGATGAGGGGCCGTCGTGCCACCCAAAAGAGAGGGGGGGGAGTTACAACTGAGCCCTTTGAAGTGAGGAGACGCAGATGGGAATGCAGCCCCCCTTCTCCACCCACCAGGAGAATGAGCCCAAGGCTGCTGCCGGTGGCTCCTCCGCACAACAGGCAAGCCGCCCAAAGCAGGTGGCCCCTCCCCTCTCTATGAACTAGAGCCGAGGGAGACCGACAGACACACCAAGCACAGGCATACAGAGCCCAACATGATGATGGAGGAGCAGTGCTGAACGAACTGCCCTGATTTAGAGGGAAATTCGATGGGGACTCAGATCAACTGGCTCTATTCCTTGACTCTACTAGAGCACCTAAACCGCTAGAGACACCTTTACCCATCACACAGAGCCATGGTGAATACCATCGCTGGGGGGCTAGAGGGAGAAGCAAAGGAATAGCTAGCAGCCCTCTATAAAAGAAGAGCCCCCCAGCTGCAAGATGTTGACGACTTTCTACAAGAGCTAGAAGCCAGAATTGAGGAGGTGGAGGAGGATCAGTATGCGGAGGATGAGCTTCGAAACTTAAAGCAAAGAGGGTGACCCATTAAAGAAGACATCCATGAATTCAGGAGAGTCATGGGGAAGCTACCCACTTTGCCAGAGCGGCTATTAGTTCTCTTTTTTAGAATGAGCCTGGGCAAGCAAATTGCCCAAGTAATCGCCTATCGGGACATTCCAAACCGACTCTCTGGGGGGGTTCTGAGTAGCCATAAAAGTTTACTGTGCATTGCATGCCAATAACATGTGGAAGCAACTGGATACCAAGGAGAGAGGACAACCAGACCAGAGGCTATTTGGCTGACAGGAGGCCGCAGCAGCACAACCAGCCCCAAGGCCAACCCTCCCACAAAGCCAGTTGAAATGCTACAGATGCGGAGGGATGGGCCACATTGCATTGGGCACCAACCCAGGGTGCGACCGGAACGAATCCCCAGGCGTGCCTTCTTGAGATGTTTTCCCCTTGAGGATTCTCATCCCTGTTTTTCACCATCCCCAGGCTCCGGAGGCTTTCCTGAAGCCTGGGGAGGGTGAAAACTGCCTCCCCCAGCCCTCTGGAAGGCCAAAAATCAGCTGGCCGGCATGCGCATGTGCACCAGAACTGAGGGCTGCCATGCCGGCAAATATGGCTCCGCGTGCTACCTGTGGCATGCGTGCCATAGGTTCACCATCACGGTACTAGACTTTTGCTCTTCACCCACTAGATTAGTTTTTGTAAAGCGCTTTTTATTCTTCTTAGGATATCTCTCCCTCTTTCCAGTTCTTGTACATTTGCTTTTTCTTTTAAATCTGTGTAGATCCACTTTGGTCTCTTCAGATGTTTCTAATTTTTCTTTCTTGTATGAATTGTTTGGATTTGTGCCTCCAAGATCACATTATCACAGAAGCTCCCAAACTTCTTGGACATTTTTCTCCTTTACAATATCAAACTATTGGATCTTGCCTACTATCCTTCTAAGTTCAACAAAGTTTTATCTCATTAAGTGTAAGACTGAGGTATGATTGCAGTTTCTCATCATCACACTATCTGAAATTCCAGGACATCATGGTCTTTGCCTCCCAGAGTTTCAGTTACTTTTACTTCCTTAGCCATTTCCTCTGTTTGGTGGTCGATTTTGACATTCACCCATAACAACTTCTTTAATTCTATAGTATCTTTGGTTTCCTATCAGTGACGTTTAGCACTTCAAAGCACCTAATGTTGTCTTTGAAAATGGTAGGCTTATGTTTAAAATCTTACTTTGAAAACTGTCTGCCTTTGTTCTTCCACTTTAGCTTGAGCTTAATCTGTTCTGTGATTACCTCCTGGTCACATCTTTGTTCTTCTAACTGAGCTCTTCTACCTCTTTATATAAAAATATAATCAATTTAGTTTCTGTATGTTCCATCTGGCAATGTCTGTATACATAGGCATAGTTTTGGTTGTGTGTCAGACTAATAGTTGATCAAAAATAAATTGGCGTAGGATAAAGACCTATTTTATGCCAGAGCATCCATACAGAGTACAAACAGAAGTAAACAATTTTAAAAATCATTTCCACAAATTAATTTTTAGTTCTTGGCTGAAGATTCTCTGGCACTATAATTATTGGCCATATAAAAGCAATTATTGTTGGGTTTGGAAAAGCAAGAAGTAAAGGATAAATATACAAAAAGAGGAACCATGAGCAGCTAACTATAGGCAAGAAATGGTTGACGTTTGGTAGAATAAAAAGAGAAGAGATGACTCATTTATGATTGATTTTGCTCAGTTCTTCCTTCCTCAGATTTTTAAACTTGTTCTATTCCATTTCTATTGTAATTAGTAAGCTTTGCTTCAAAATAGCAGATTTAGGTGAACCCAATGCATTCCAGTTTGCCTGTAGATACAGGAATTGGAAATCAGATAAATTTACATTACACTGTTAATGAACATCTGTGGAGATTCTCAGTCATCCAGGTCATAGTTGTCTCAAAGGTGCTGTTTCAAAAGGCAACTGGACTTTGTTTTTCCTTGAAGACATTTCACTTCTCATCCAAGAAGCTTCATGGGTTTTGGCAGGATGGTGGGGGCAATGGAAGGATTAGTTCTGGCAGGATGGGGTGGTGATGGAAGGATTATATTTCTTTGCAGTCCTCTGGTTGTTAGCACTCTCTCTGAGAGCTTGAGGCCACTTGGGGGTATATCTGTGCTCTCAGGGTCACCTGTATCAGAGGGCAAATGGGGTGGAATCTTCTTGGAACTGCTGAAAGGACTGTGTTGTAGACAGGAGATAGGTGGTGTCATATTCCTCTCCCTCTATTGAGAGGGAGCTGCTCAATGTTAACATAAATGGCCGTGACCCGACAAATGCGCGAACGACAAAAGTGCGCCGACAAAACCGCAGCGCTAAAACCGCGATGTCATCAACGCACCGACAACAGCGCGCCGACAGAAGCGCGATTTAAGTTAAGGTAAGGGTTAGGTTTAGGGTTAGGGTTACAGCGCGCTTCTGTCGGTGCGCTTCTGTCGGCGCGCTTCAGCGCTCATTCGTCGGCACGCTTTAGAACTCGCGGTTTTGTCACTGCAGTTTAGTCAGGCGCGCTTTTGTCGTTCATGCATTTGTGGGTGAACCTAAATGGCCTCATTTACCCCTCTTTCAAACCAATGGTCCTCTTTATCTAGAATGTGGACAGCCCAATGTGTCCTCTCTATCCAGAAAGGCCACATTCTGGACTTTCGCCCCCAATATCCTGCCAGAGCCAATGAAGCTTCTTGGATGAGAAGCAAAATGTTGTCTTCCTTCTCAAGGAAAAAGCAGTCCAGTTGGCCTTTTGAAAAAGCATCTTTGAAACTGTCAATGAACATTTCTCTACTGTCCCTAGCTTGGATAAGAAAATGCCTGAGTCAGTTAATTGGAGGAGCAACAGTTGGGCAAAATTAAAAGTTCTAGAAATGGGAATTACTGGAGTTTAACACAAGATATCTGGAAGGATCCAGTTCAAGCTGCATTAATGGAACACCCTTCATCTTTCTAAACCTACAATCACTTTAGTTAGCCTGAATAATATGTACTGTTTTGATTTCTATCTCAAATCTTTGTCCTCTGTAGTCAGTCAATGGAGCTCCTGTGAAAAGTGTAACTGATAAATATATATCCTCCATTTATTTGGAATAGAGTTTCAACTCATCTGAAATGCATCAAACAGAGAAAGACAGGCATCAACTGCAAGATGCATTTTTCTCTCAAATGCAATACACACAAATGAGATCAAATTAGATAGAATTCAGATACAAAATCATTTAGATTTTGTAGTGGTATAGCAGCTTCAAGTTCTAGTCCTGCCTTAAGCTTGAAGCTGTCTGGGCCCAGCTTTCTCTCTTAGCCTAGAAAGCAGGGAATGGCAAACCACTTCTAAAAAACCTTGACAGAAAAACTGTAGGGACTCATCTAGATATTTGCCAGAAATCATGATTGACTCAAAGGCACAAAAAGAAAAACTGCTGTATTACTGGAAGAAATTGAATTTTAAGATTTATTCTTTTTCCACCTCAGTTTCCCCCCCCCCCACTCCCCAAACATCTGGGTAGAGTATATCTTGTTTAGATTGATCATGTGTAAGCTGCTCTAATGAGTGAAGTCAAATGCTCAGCTAGATAGGAGATAGATAAAGTAGATTATATTCTCTCTTCCATCTTCATCAAATTGCTGTCCCCTAAAAATGTGGAAGGAATTTCTGGGGACTGGAGAAACAGAAATATTTTTTATCATACTTACTATTAAATAACATGGTTTACACAGAGCTACAAAATCTTTACTGCAAACATCTGGATGCCCACTAAATAGAAACAAAGCATTATAATTCTTAAATGAATCTTATCTGATAGCTAATCATTCCATAGATTTATTTTAAAAAACTGTCTGAATTTCTTAGCTCAACTATCTTTCAGATATTGCTGAACTACAAATTCCTGTTCTAGCTCCACTGGCTGGAGATAATGGGAGTTGGACAATTCCTCATGTGTCATAGACAAAACTTCCCTAAAGAATTTATCATTGATTTGTTTCTATTGTGGCAACTGATTCCCTTTGGCAGGAAAAATTCCTAGAACATTCCTGCTTCTCTCTTCCTTCTTACCTGTTTCCTGAAGGCCTTGTGGTTCCTCTTTTGGGACGCAGGGCTTCTTGAGAGCAGGGCCTGGGATAGGTTGGTTTAGTGTTATATTGGATGAGGACATGTACTCGGGATGGGGCAGCAGCGAGACT